TACAGCTGATCTGACTTAGTCACAATTAGGACTCGATATCTTTCAATCCATTCCATTAATCCATTAGGTTAGGTTTATGCGTTTTGAGCTAAACCGTCCCTAGTATGTCACCGTCCCATACCGGTACATACCATCCTCCATATCCATGTAAATTACAACATATATAACAGTTCAATAATTTACAGACCAAAAACTACCATCCAAATAATTGCAAAAAAATATTTAAAGCTTCAGCAATTTAAATCCAAGCATTTAACCATATAGTTGCAGGAGACGATTTAACAAATCAACAACTAACATCCAGAGCATGCATAGACCAAATTTAATATGTCAGGGACTCCATCATGCATGTGAATAGGTTAAATAATCCTATTATTAACCAATAAATTGCTAAAACAATTCAGAAGATCGTTTAATATTTCAGCAGTTTAAATCCAAACATTAATCATATAGTTGCAGTAAACAATTTAATAATTCAGCAACTAGCCTCCTAAGCATGCATAGATCAAAATTAATAATTAAATGACCTTATCATGCACTTGAATGCATTCTAAAACAACTTTTATAAACACATTATGTTCCATCAAATTGCTGAATTTTAATTCAACAATTAATTCAATTTCCATTTGTTAAGTGCCTTAATTTTTACACTGTTTGTCCCGACAACTTAGAATTAAACTTTACTCAATTTAGGGTCTTAATAACACTCAAAATTCATTCCTTGATCCCTCTGTAAAGTTCCAAATCCATTCAAACAGTCTCCATGCTCTAACAGTGAACATAGTATGTAGAAAATTAAAAAAAATCGTAAAATAAATCAAAAATACCAAGGGAGCCTGCTCCAGAATTTGGAGCAGGCTCTTTTCCAGCCTAGAGCCGGCTCTAGGACTCCCTAGAGCCGGCTCCACTTTGTTGTGGGAGCCGGCTCCCACTTCTATGGAGCCGGCTCTCACCTCCTGTGAGAGCCTTCGTCCCCGATGCGCGTTTCAGCTCTTGTGCTCCTTCTCCGGCTTATTCCTAACCCTCTGTTAGTTTTTAAAACCAAACTTAGGTGTCATATTAATACCCAGTAGCATCCCAATGGCTTGATAACAACAATTAAAAACAATTACAGAGACTAAATTTGCTACCGAACTAACCTGCGTTAGGAACAAAACTGAAATTATAATTTTATTCCAACCTCTCTGTTTCTCTTCACAAACTGATCTTAGGAGTCTTATAACATCCCATTAACATCCCTAGGGTTTGTTTACAGAAGATAGAGGCAAGAATCATAACCAAAACTCAACAGATTTTTAATATGCTTTAATGAACAGAACAGGAAGCAACAATACACGAACTATAAACAGATTTGGATTCAACGCAAACAAATCATCAACAAGCATACATTGAACACATAAGTTTCATTTACTAATTAGTTAATCCCTAGAGACTATCTAAGTGCACAGAACACGAGCCAAAGGGAAGGAGAAAGAGAAGAACTTGCCTGGGATTTCAATTATGAAATCCCTGTGTCGTCTCTAAGTTTTCCTGCAATTCTGAACGCCGCCAAGCTTCCTATAACTCTGTCTCTAATCCTTACTCAACCTCCTTGGTCCTCTCTGTACAAATCCTCTTAAGCCTCACTCTGTTTCCCCACAATTGCTCTCTATTTCTCTCTCTTTGTATCTCACGGTCTCTGTTGTTTTTACAGAAATTCCGGTTAATTATTCTCAAACCCTAAACCACCGTGACACACATACTTATAGGCTTAGTGATTAAACCCTAATCCATGTAACCTTAAGCCAGAGCCCATCTCGGCCCATAAACCGACCTAAGATAAATACCTACGTCGGCCACCTATGTAATTGCAACCCTAAATTTAACTGTAACTTAAAACAGAATTAAATGAAAAAAAAAATAATTAAATAATTAAATCCACTTAACTAATTAATTCAAATTAAATAACCCAATTAAATAACTAAAAACACTTAAACAATAAACGCCAATTAAAGAATAAAAAATAACTTAATCAATTTAAAACACATGACACATAGGTAACCAATTACATCAAAACAATAAATAAAAATAATTAATCCAAATAATCATGCAAAAATACAATAATCATGTAAAAATACAATAAAAATAATAAATAAATGCCGAGACTATCCGTTTAAAATTAGGGGTATTACAGGGCACCCCACCGTGTTTTACCACAAGTCCTACTCTGATACCATTTGTCACGGGCCTAGAGATTTGGCGCAGCAGCACGGCCCGTGCAGTACCAAGGCGTTGCTTCAGCTCGCGCAAGCGCCCTGGTCAGCCACCTCGACCTGCCCTCCCAAGGATACATGCTGACTGGTTTTGACTTGCCTTGGTCTCGTCAGGGGAACGACTCCAGCTCCCGACCAGTTTGTGCAAGGATGGCCAACTCCTTTCTTCATAGTTAAGTCCACGACCAGCGACAAGCTCCTCGCACTCAACCGAATTGACCTGCCTGAACTCTGAAGATGTTCCATCCTGTGCTCCTATACGCCCCTTCCCTGGAACCGTTCCCAGTCAAACTCTGCTCTTTACCAACCAGCATGTGTGTCTTCCATACTCCAGGCGTCTTAAGAATCACTTCGTGACATTAGGCATAAATTTAGAGTCTATCTCCGACATCTTTTGTAACCGATGTTATATCTGTAAAGTTTTGGGCATGAACATGTATTAATTTGTAATTATTTTCACGGGACTGTAAATTTACTGTCTTTGCAATGACGTTTGGATCTTATATAATCTATGTATATGAATACTTTGCGATAGGTTTGACTTGGTCTAAATGACCAATTTATGATTTAGAGGAGAGAACAAAAAAAGAAGAAGGGTCATTACGGTAATTTTTGGGTTCAGTCCAATCGATCGGATTTCAATCCGATCGATCAGATTTTTCCATACTTAGAATATTTTGAAATCTCTTTAAAATCTGCTCTCGATTCGATCAATCGAATTTTCCCAGACTTATAAAATTTTGAGGTTGTAAATATTCACTTTAACTTGGTTATTTCTAACTTAAATTAAGCCATTCTTAAATCTAGAATGATGCATTTTAAGCCACTTTTCCATTGACATCAATCTCATTTTATAATTTTAACTTGAAATGACTATTTTACCCCTCGTTAGGCTTGGGTTCCGGCATAAACCTGAAGTTGTATTTACCATTTTTTAATGATCCAATGTGGTTATAAATGATTAGTATGACTTCATTATGACTTAACTCTTAGTAAGGTGCATAGTGACCATTTTGCCTTTAGTTGACTTCAGGTTCGAGCGAAGACCCGGATAGTGATTCGTACCCCAACACTTTCATGTTCTTGATATAAGTATTTAAAGAAATATTTTAATGGCATTTCTTGTTCTAACCGGAACGTTGGTGCAACAGTAACATGTTATTTTCTTAATAAGCACTGAATGTTGCACATTCAAGCCCTTAGATTTGCATATTTTAATACCTTAGTAATGTTTATTTCATATTACTTATGTTATTTTACTAATTTTTGCTATTTTCAGGTATTCTTCAGGAATTCAATCAATTCCGTTGTTTTTAGGGTATTTGAGTTCAATTAAAGGATGGAAACCGTGAGAGCTAGAGTATCCAAAGTAATCCAATGGCTAAGATTATTGAAGGATATTTCTAGAAATCTTTTAAAGGAGTTTCCAGGAAGCTAAATTCATTTTTAGATCATTACATGAAGAAATGAAGTTTTCCTACTCTAATAAGGAAACAACTTGAATAGGAAATTCTGGACCCATTTCAGTATTTTGGGCATAACATTTTACCCAAAACTCGAAATTAGGCAAACTCAATGGCCTTGGAAAGAAAACTTGAAGTCCATCATTTTTGTATCTAATAGCAGTTTCGAGATTCATATTCCAAATAGGTCAAAGCAATGTTTCAAATTGACAAAAATATGGAACACTGTTTGAACTTCTTTCTTTGCGGGGCTTTTCCTATTTCCTTTCTTTGGGAGGAAACCCTACAACATATATATATATATGAGATTTCTAGCATAAGAGAAGAGGATAAAAGAAAGAGTTTTGGTGGATTTTAGGGCTTTGAAGACTAAAGATTCCAATTGGCGGTCCTTGGAGATGACTTCTACACCAACAATGATGACATCCTTCCTCTCCATGAGTAGTTAAAACATTCCTTAGGGAATTGATGTAACCCTAGTCCGAGTAGCATGATTTGATTGTTCTTAACTTTTGAGATTTTTTTGAATTATGTATATTGATTGCATGGTTGTGAGCAATTAACTTAGTTATATTAAGCAATTGGGTTTTAATGAATATAATCAATTTTAATGAAATTAATCTCTTATTTTAGAATTGATTTTATTATAATTGAATTCAAACTTCTTTTATTGTGAGAGATTGGCGGCGGCTTCTCTTAATGGTTTAAGTAGTGATCATTCAATGGTGCTTAACGAATGTGTGAAATGTCTTGATAATTCATGCCTAGGGAAGACGAGTTATATAACACCCTATATTAGAATAGCTAGACAATTCGTGTCAACCTAGATTAAAGTAATTAGATAGACAATTCGTACCAGCTGAAGATGAGTTATGGCTTAGTGTTTATTAATGCGCATCTTCTTAATTGAATTAAATTGTGTTTGTAACCACTTGGTTCCTGAAGATACATAAGTATAAATTTCCCCACGGCTAAAGCAATTGATTATGTTACGAGATTAGTGGTGAAGTCAAAGCCCTAAGTCCCTTATCTCTTGATATCTATTCTCCATTAACTTGATTTTATTTTCATTACATTTAGAAATAGAAAAACAACACAAATTCTCTTATTTTGAATCAAATAGGAATTAATTTCATACTTAACAATACCAACATAGTCCTTAAAGTTCGACACCCTTAAACTCTAGGATTTTATCATGGATAATACACACATCACCTCTCTTTTAAAAAACCCACCCGCTGCTTATAATCTGACAAATCCGATAAGTGCAACAAACAGAGGTTCATTATAAAACAACCCTACCATTGAATGCCAAAAAAATGTGTAGTTTGTTGACAGATACATACGTAACATACATATATATGTATATCTCAGTTACCACAACAACAGAGATATATGATTCCTGCATACAGTTGCATTCGCAAATCGCAGATGAGTCTAGATCCTACTAACGATCACCCTTCAGTCGATCCATTCATGTTGTCTGCTCAAGTTCAGGGATCTTCAGTATTCGCAACCCACAAACCATAAAGCACCGAGGTTTTACAACTGCGGCAATCCAATGTGAAAATGTTACCAATACAACAAAGATATATAATTCTTGCATACAATTAATTATTATTTTTTATATTTAAAAAAAAATAACTGGCATTCGCAAATGAATTCGCCAAAATAATAATAATAATAATAAAATGCTACATCCTACTAATGAACACCGTTCATCTTTAATAGGTCATCACTTGATCTGTTTATCACAGGTGGTCTTCTCAAGTTCAGGGATCTCTAATATTCGCAACCAACAAACCATAAATGCACAGTTCCTAATTTTCATAAAAAAAATAAAATAAAATAAAATAAAAGAATAATAAATAAAAAAAAAGAATTACCAAAACCATGTTTTCACTCTATTGAAAGATTGAGGATTGACAACTTGCCCTCTCTTCGTCAACATACCAAAAGGTTTGGTTGCCAAAAAGAGCATGGGGAAATGAATGTCAATATAAAGAAAACAGTTAATTGTTAGCCTAGAACAAGCGCTTCCGACAATCTGATGCACCACAGTAGCATGCCAATTTCCTTATCTTGCCATCAGGGCCCGTGACACTGTCAAGAACATAACCATAATCGTAAGTGAGTTCCTGCAAATAATGAAGAACAAAGTTAGTTGTTGTGCTATTCAATCAATCTAATCCAAGCAAACAAAGAGAAATTTTCCTAGGATTTAGAACGCAAAACAGCAATATACCTCGTAACTGGAAAGTCAGGAAATAACAACGCAATTGTTGTTTGATAAGAATCTAAAAACCATATTCTTGCTAATGAGTTATCCCTCTAACAAAAAGGCGTAAAAATATAAATCAAACTGAACATCAAAGTAAAAAGATCAATCATATTATTTACCTTTATCTCAACCACTGTTCAAGCTGTGCGTCACAACAACAATCACATCAAAGTACACTCAACTCATTCAAACATTAAAACTTGCGCATTCTATGATAGGTAACCATATGCTAAATACTTCCACAAGTAATTTATGCAAACTAGTAAAAATGATTTACATGAAGAACAATTGTATTTGTGCAATTTAATATCTTGTAAACATTCTCCACTAAAAGAAGACTTGGATCCAAGTTGCAAGGGAATCTAGGCAAATCCCCAAGTCAATGACATCTAGCGCCATATCCTTTATTAGATCAAATTATCAAAGGCTAAAGTATCTTTATCAACTTTAATCAAATTACTCAAATAGCTGGTGTTTTACTGTTCTTTATTCAGCATGACTAAATGATCTCTAAACGTATAAGATAACGATAGAAAAAAATTACAGAGATATATATCAACAGGACTAAACATTTGAATAAACTCATAAAGAAAAAACTATTTTTGATCCAAATCAACGAGTAGCAGACTAATATCTTGCAAACATGACCTTAAAAAGTTTGTAAGGGAGATTTTTTTCTGTTTCACTTTTTTTTAACAAAAAAACGGAGAGAGATTTCTTGAAGAACCTTCAATGGAGGTATATTGTCAGCGGCAAAGAGCACCACTCTAGCAAGCTTGACGTCATGGTGTGAGCTTAGAACACACTGAACAAATAGATTTGGTTGACAACTATGATTGATAAATCTAGCAATGTTCCCTCTGGAACCTGCATCGATGCAGAACTCCGGAACAATATCAGATTTATGATCATCCAAGTATGAAGTGGGTAAAGATACATCTCGGAATCGTCTCTGTAGGGGGAAAAACAAATTAAGGAGGTCAATACAGACTAGGACCATAACAAACAAACCAACTAAAAGAAACAACAGGAAATTAAATGAAAAGAAAACAATATTTAATACAAAAACAAAGAATTAGGCAGAATTTTAAAACAATTTAAGTGATACAAGTGACATTATGCATTCAGCATACAGCACATGAAGCTGAAAGACTACTCGAGCCTCAGAAATGTCAAAGCACTCAATGTCAGTGCCATATAACTTCAACTTTACCTTTAAAAATTTTTAATGTGGTAAAATAAATGCACGCCAAAGTAGACCTAAAGCAGGGATAAAAGGCCTTATTCAAATTTTAACGATCAAAATCCAATTCACAGGTTCCAAAACTGTGCCAATTAAATGATAGATGGCACGTAATAAACAAAATAAAATAAGTAACAACAGACAATAATACAGCAATTTGCCTTTTAAAAAGATTATGGAAAAGGCTGCAAGACTCTAGGCCAACTAGAATCAATCCACTTGACAAAAGAGGTGTACAACATGGGTATCAATTTCCAAAACACATGGAACCACCCAGTTACATCTGACCCAGACTCACAGCACACATTGTGGAAGCTGATCACCAAACCAATTCACCAAAGCCATCCGCATTCGCAAATCATGTCAAACACCTTGCTAGTGATCCATCATGTTGATTTATGATTTACTTTGATAAACATTGTAGATGACAAATGGCTTCGACAGTATAGTTTAACGCTTTAGAACACTTCAAACGAAACCATCTACATGCAATATGTATGACGAGTATAGAAAGACTTATCTATAAAGATTTCTTCTGCCCAGAAACATGCAAAATAAATCATGTGCAATCATTAATGGAGTTGACTTCTACACTATTACCTTGAAGATTAATATATGTAACTTCACGATGTTTAGCTTCAAAGTTGTAGTCATCTTTGAAAACTCTAATTTATGGATTTAACTATAAAATATGTAAATAAGATGCAGATTCTGGCTCTCTTTTACTTAATTTACCTACGATATGAAGTACCTCCAAAGAATTACTAGCAATTATATATTTATCATTGTTCACTTTCTAACATTTTTCTTTTAGATGCAGATTCTGGACAATGTTCTCTCATCTCAAGTTAACGTTGTATAAAGAGTGGTACACAACCCATCAGTAGTACACAACACCATCAGTTTGGTTTTGGATTGCAAAGAATCTACGAAGTGGATAACTCATTTTGAGTTCAGGGTTAACCAACTGACCTAAATATTGTTGCACCTACTGCTGAAACCATGGGAAAAGATTTTGACTTCTACAACTTTCACCTCAACCCGTGGTTAGGTATTAAATAACATCTCAATCTTTGCATTCTTAAAATAACTTCTTACAAGCTACCAGAATCCAGATTACCAAATATTGCCTTTGGAAACCCTATTTTCACAATTAAAATAGAGACACTCCACCAATTAAGAGGATAAAGGAAAAGAAAAAAGTTATAAACTTGCTGTATCTATACCTCTCTTCCATCAAGACCCTTCATTGTTTGTAAGCAATCAATGTCAAAAATATAATTATTTTCAAAAGCAGTATCTATTTCATCAGTCTTCATGAGAACTCCAATGTATTCACAAACCGGTGCACCAGCAGGTATATAATCCCAAGATCTAACAGCCCACCCTTTCTTTGGAGTACGGAAGACCTGTTGTAAAGCGGAGACAGAAATAGGAATACAAGTCAAAGTAAGTTGATACATTCATTGCCAAACAATGAGCATGGGTAATTGGCTAAGGTCACAGAACCTCAAGTCGATACTTTAGCCCTCTCTGAGATGTCCGGTTGACACAGCTAGGTCCACAGCCACAATTTGGACCACATTCAAACACAACAGCCTTGGGTTCAATTAGTCTGGAAAGTACAAGGCAAGAGTACAACCAAATAAAGAAGTTTATTATAAAAAACTAAGAAACCAATCAAGCACCAAATAATAATAGTTGGAAAAATCAGAAGCAACACGGTACTTGGCACGCTCATCAATTTCGAATACTGATTCCCCATGCTTATCAAGCCAAATTCTCAGCCAAATAATTAAATTTAAAATCATGAAAACTTGAGTAATGTTAATAATTAGATTGAGGCAAAGTAAATATATTTGAGAAAATCAAACGAATGGAAATACTGTAAAACCTTGTAGAAAAATCAAGCTATTGGAATTACCATAAACCCTGGTGATTTCAAAATTTAGATATGTTAGAAATATTGTATAAATAAAACAACCCCTCCCAGCACGCACGCACACACGATGTCAACTCGGCCAAAGTCATCCCCTTCACAAAAACAGGCTTCATGTAGTCGTTAGCATCACTGTGATTGGCACATTACGTGTCAAAATGCTCTACAATGGATGATTAAGTATAACCAAATATATGTTGAATCAAACAAAATTGTTTAACCTCCAAATCAACATGAAAAAATGATTGAACAATTCCAAGGAAAATAAATAAATGAATAAACTGAAGATTGCTTTAGAGTCGAACACAAGACACAAGGTGAAACCAAGATGTATAGCACACCATACATGACGTTAACAACAATTGAAATGAGTGGATTAAGCTTTGGCCTCAAGACCTATTTAAACTTTTGATATCTCAAAAGCTAAGCGGTCTAATATTTATTCCAACCTTATTGACATGATACTCAGTTTAGGACATTTAAAGAATTTAGTCCACATAAGTGAAAGAATTGAGATAATAATATTATTCCAACCTCATTGACATGATATTCAATATATAGCTTACTCGTTAAGAAATAAATATTACACACAGAGCGAAAGATTGGTCGTAGTTGTCATCACATAAAAAAATCAGGAATTTTTTTGTTAAAAAAAATGAAAAAAAAAAAGGAGAGAGAAGAGAAGACATAATAACGGCGCATCTTAACAAGAAAATTTTGAGTTCCTTGACACCTTCAAAGATAACAAACGCCACTGGTTCAGTTGCCTTCATTTCTTTGCACCCTGCTAGGTCAATAGGACTTAGGTTGGGAAATTTTGTTAACAAAACTGGAGTCTCTTAACTTTTGTTTTAATTTCTACCTTAGGTTAGAAGTTTCGAAAACTTAGTTTGTGTTAGTTGTTACCTCCTACACTTGCTTGACGAAAAAATTTCAAACTAAATTCAAGTGTATATAAGTAATCTTCTCCACAAGGGTGTAATGGTACATTGATGCACTCACCAAATTACAATTCATACATGCATATTAGGGATTCCAAGTTATTCACGATTTCATTACCTAAATGTTTCAAAATATGCCTTTCGCTTCTGAAAAAAAAAAAAAAAAATAAGTTTCAAAATATGCATAAAAATGTTTTCAAAACTTCTTGATTTGAATAATTTCAAAACATAAAACTACAATAGACTTCAGCAGATCAAGACTTCAATTGACGTGTTTTTCGATTGATCGAATTGTGCGGAGAGCAGTTTACAAATTAAATAATAAATCTACCAAACCTGTTCTCTCTATTCTTCTATTTGGCGCGTCAGTATGTTATTCTAGGGCACTTACAACATACTTGGAAATTTCGAATACATATTGAGAGAGCACAATTGTGAGTTGTAGAGTGCTTCAATACTTTTGTTTTTGCATTCTTCAATCATAGAATTGGTGAGTCTGATTCTGTGTGTCAACATATATTGTTGCGTACTACATTCAAAGAGTTCACCACTTTATTTGTTAATAGCATGCTTTAGATTAGATGATTTTTACTTTTCTGCTATGAATTGAGAAGTTTTATAAAAATTCAGTAGTAGTTAAATTCATCCAGTAATATATTCTACAAGACCTTCCCTCCTCAACAACACACAACCCCCCCCCCCCCCCCCCCCGGCGGCCAAAAAAAAAAGGTCTAGATAACGGGCCTTGCGCAACTCTTTACAAGAACCTCGCGTTCTGGTCAGTACTGTCACACCCATTTTACACTGTCCAAACTTGAGAAGACATATCTCCTACTTGCCATGTAGACTACATCTTAGGAAGTCCGATAGAATCCACCTCACTGTAAACATCATTCTTTTATGTGATGTTGTGCAGCGGCACATCCCCTTCAGATCCTTCAATTAAAATTCAGCTCAAACTCCATGGAAAAAGAAGATGCACTGTTTGTTTTTAATACAAACAGGGTCTTTTTTTACTCAAGTCCCATAATTTTGTATAAGTTTTGACATTGATCCTTTTTTAAAAAAACATTAGAGATTGATCCTATGTTTAGACCTTTCTGTTAGTCAACAAACGTTCCACTAAAAAATGTTAGTTAATGTGGATAAATGAATTCAATTATATTGAATCTGTTAATTAATTTTACAAGAGCCTCTGTTGGGCTATATATAAGAAATTACAAAGAGAAAAATCAACAACTAACTTAATTTTGAAATCCCTATAATCAGGAATCCCTGATTCTCTATCAATCAAATCCCTAAACTTTAGGAAACAAATATTTACACAAATCCCTAAATTCTAGGAAACAAATATTTACACAATTCTAGTGCTAACCTACCACTAATCAAAGAGGTATTTTTCCACACTCCCCTCAAGCTGGTGAATAGGTGTCAACCATTCCCAGCTTGGAAATAATTTCTTGGAAGATAACACGGTTGAGCCCCTTTGTAAAAACATCTACCAATTGACCTCCCGTGGGAACGTATGGTGTGCAAATTAATCCGCTTTCTAGTTTTTCCTTGATAAAATGCCAGTCTATCTCAATGTGCTTAGTTCGGTCGTGTTGCACTGGATTATGTGCAATATTGATTGCTGATTTATTGTCACAGTAGAGTCTCATTGGCCCACTCCATCAAATCTTCAAGTCGTCCAGTATAATCTTCAGCCATAACAACTCACAGACACCTTGTGCCATTGCTCTAAACTCAGCTTCTGCACTTGACCGGGCTACAACATTTTGCTTCTTGCTTCGCCATGTTACCAAATTGCCTCCAAGGAATGTACAATAACCTGAAGTAGACCTCTGATCCATAGGGGACCCTACGTAATCTGCATCTGTGTAGGCTTCAAGGACAAGCTCAGAATTTCTCTTGAACATTATCCCTTTCCCAGGATTAGCTTTCAAGTAATGAAGCACACGGTAGGCAGCTTGAAGATGAATCTCTTTGGGGTCATGCATGAATTGGCTGATGACGCGAACAGAATATGCTATGCCCAGCCGGGTGTGGGCAAGATAAATGAGTTTTGCAACTAATCTCTGGTACATCTCTCTATCTACTGCTTGATCTCCAATAGCCTCTCCAAGTCTATGGTTCGGCTCTATAGGTGTTGCAGCTGGTTTGCTTGCGAGCATTCCTGTTTCCTTAAGAAGATCGGTGACATACTTTTGCTGCGAGATGAAGATACCTTGTCTAGAATGAGCCACTTCTATCCCTAGAAAATACTTCAATCTCCCCAAATCTTTTATCTCGAATTCTTTGATCAAACATTGTTTCAAGGCTTGCTTCTCCTTCTCATCATTTCCAGTCATAATTATGTCGTCCACATAAACTATCAAGGCCGTGACTTTCCCTGAAACTGAGTGTTTGATGAAAAGAGTGTGATCTCCCTGACTCTGCTTGTATCCTGCAGCTAACATCACCTTAGTAAATCTCCCAAACCAGGCACGAGGCGATTGTTTTAAACCGTATAAGGCCTTCCTTAACTTGCATACCTTGTTCCCTTCAACTCCTCCAAATCATGGCGGGATGCTTATATAGATTTCTTCTTCCAAGTCACCATGTAGAAAGGCGTTCTTCACATCGTATTCGTACTGCTGTAATTCCCAATTAAAATTGGCTACTAATGACAACAAGATCCTCACAGTGTTCATTTTTGCAACTAGAGCGAAGGTCTCTTGGTAATCAACTCCATATGTCTGAGTGTACCCCTTAGCAACTAGCCTTGCTTTGTAGCGCTCTAACGATCCATCAGCCTTATATTTCAAGGTAAAAACCCACTTACACCCTACTGCCTTCTTTTCTTTTGGTAGATCAACCACCTCCCACGTCCCATTTTTTCCAATGCGTCTATCTCAACTCTCATTGCTTTCCTCCATTCTTCATTGGACAATGCCTCAGATAAAGTGTTTGGAATAGAGATTTCATTTAGACTCGTGAGAAAACTCATATGGGCTGGTGAGAATTTCTTTAAGGATACATAATGAGATAGAGGGTATAATGGTCGTTTGGTACACTCTCGAGTTCCTTTCCTCATGGCTATGGGCAAATCCTGGTCAGTTATTTGAGGTCCAGGGAGCTGGTGTTCTATAAGTGGAGTAGGTTCAGATACTGTTACCTCATTCTCAGGAGTCAGGTTAGAGGTTTGGGCCTGCATCAGATTAGGAACTGGACCTTGCTTCCTCGAGTACACCTTCCCTTTCCCATACCGTACGTGATCAAGAGTCATATTATCCTTCACAGGAGACACAACAGCAGATATAGGTGACAAAACAGGAAATTCAGGCTCAGGTACTGAGTTGGATGGAGTGTTTGATACAGGTAAGAGAGATGGTGACGGTAAAGCGAGCTGGAAAAAATCCTTATCTTCTACGATAGATGACTCCCCCTGAAGATAAGGTTCAATAAAATACGGTTTTCCTTCCGCAAAAGTGACATCAGCTGAGATATAAAGTTTCCTGGTAGGAGGATGAAAACATTTGTAACCTTTTTGTGAAAACATTTAATGGCTCTAGGATCTAATTTGCCCCAGTTGTTACGATGGACATGAACAAATGAAGTGCACCCAAATATCCATGGGGTAAGGTTGTTTGTGGAACTAAGGTCGGGGTAGAATTTAGAAAGGACTTCCATTGGACTTCTTGACCCTAAAACCCATGAAGGAAGTCTGTTTATGATGTAGGCAGATGTAAGTACTGCTTCCCCCCAATAGTATTTTGGTACATTTTGATGAAACAAGAGTGCTCTAGTAGTGTTTAGGAGATGACCGTTTTTCCTTTCAGCTAATCCGTTTTGTTGTGGAGTATTAATGCAAGATGACTCATGAATAATTCCTTCCTTTTGAAAGAAGGGTGACAAGACTTAATTGAAGTAATCCCTCGCATTATCAAACCTAAACCTCTTTATTTTGGTACCAAACTGATTGTGGATCATTGTATGGAAATTGAGAAAGATATTACTCACATCTGATTTATTTTTGAGTAAAAATATCCAAGAGACTCTAGTGCAATCATCGATAAAGGACACAAACCACCGTGAACCAGAAACATTTGGGACTGTGGAGGGTCCCCATATATCACTGTGAATTAAATAGAAAGGGGAGGAACTTCTTTTATTGCTAATGGGAAAAAGCTACACGAGTGTGTTTTGCATACTCACAAATATCACAATGAAATGTCCCAATATATAATCCCTTAAACAAAGAAGGAAACATGATTTTTAGAATTGCAAAAGAAGGATGTCCGAGACGAAAATGATGCAACCATATGACATCTTTATTAGAAGATGAGAGAAACGAAGAGGATAAATTTGTCCTTATCATACTCGGAAGGCTCAGTGTCTCAAGGTAGTAGAGTCCTTCCTTTTCCTTAGCACGTCCAATCCTCCTCCCCGAATCCTGGTCCTGAAATTCACAGTAAGAGGGATAAAACGTAACATGACAATGTAAGTCTCTAGTAAGCTTTTGAATGGACACAAGGTTAGTGGACAATTTAGGAACATGTAAAACATTTTTAAGAACAAGACTAGGGGTGATATGGATATCTCCTACACCAACAACCGTGGTTGTGGTTCCATCAGCAACAATGATTTTCCTATTGCTAGGACATGGGGTATAAGTGTTGAACTGGTTTGAGGCATGTGTCATGTGGTCTGTGGCTCCCAAGTCTATGATCCATGAATCCACAAACAATCTATCAGAAACATTTAATCCAAGGGAGAATAAAGACTCACCTGAGAGGGCTAAAGAACAAGCACCAGAAGATGGTTTCTCAAGGGTTCCCAGCAGTTTTCTTAACTTCTCTATTTCTTCACTGTCGAATCCTCCATATTCTTTTGCCTGTTCTAAACCCACCTGTGAGGTCATATAGGCTTGTCCTTGTTGTCGTTGTTGCTAGTTTCCCCATTCTCGGCTGGATGTGGGTGGTTTCCCGTGTAATTTCCAGCAACGATCCCTGGTATGTCGCGACTTTTTACAGTATCTACACCAAAGATTATCTCGGTTTGCCCCCTTTGATAATTCCGCCTTTCCATGTTCAGCTTTTTGCGGTTGTTCTAGAGTGAAACCCCGCTTGTTGTCACCAGAGACTACGAGTGCTGAGCTGTCAATCGAATGAGGTTCAAGCATGATTCCTCTCCGACTCTCTTCAGCCCGAATCAATGAAATCACCTCATTAAGAGATGGTACCTCCTCCTTGCCCAAAATTTGAATTCTGACTTGATCAAATTCAGAGTTTAGGTCAGCGAGAAAATCATAAACTCGATCTTTTTCAATGAAATTTTTGATAATTACAGCGCATTCGCTGCACTTCAAATCAATCACTCGGTAGTAATCCAGTTCTTGCCACTGGTTTTGCAGAAAATTGGCATACTCAGTCACGGACTTGTTCCCCTGTTTTGTAGACATTGTCTTTGTCTTGATCTCGTATACTTGCGCCGCATCACGAACCTTGGAGTAAGTCTGGTTGAGAGCGTCCCAGATGGCCTTCGCAGTTGGTAGGAACATGCATGTATCGTTGATTTCAGGTGTCATGGAAATCCACAACCAGGACATGACCATTGAGTCCTCCTCGTCCCACGCTTCGAAACCTGCATCACCTTTCTTTGGTCCCGTTCCCAGCAAGTGACTTAGTTTCCCTTTTTCTTTCAGAAAAGTTCGAACCAATTGAGACCATTTCAAGTAGTTCCTTCCATTAAGTCGGTACGCCGGTTGAATATTCTGCAGTTCACTTGTGGGGCGCTGAACCTGCTCTTCCTCGGGTGATTGGGATGGTTGAACAGTAGTTTCTGACATTCTTCAACAATCGGCTATGAAGGCCGGACAGAAGGGTTATGCGAAAATTGGCAAAAGAAATTGCTAGAGAATGACTGCGATAAAGGCAAGTCACAAAGAAAATTGGCTATGAAGGCCTGAACAGAAAAAATAAAAACGCTGAATTTTTTTTTCTTCAGGAAATCCAAGCCTTAAAGCTCTGATACCATGTGGAGAAATGAATTCAATTATATTGAATCTGTTAATTAATTTTACAAGAGCCTCTATTGGGCTATATATAAGAAATTACAAAGAAAAAAATCAGCAACTAACTTAATTTTGAAATCCCTATAATCAGGAATCCCTGATTCTCTATCAATCAAATCCCTAAACTCTAGGAAACAAATATTTACACAAATCCCTAAACTCTAGGAAACAAATATTTACACAATTCTAGTGCTAACCCACCACTAATCAAGGAGGTATTTTTCCACAGTTAAGAGTGTTTTTTTTTATAAAATTTCAAAACTACCCCTTTACTTAAATTACAATAGCCACGAATTCATAGCCGTCACCTCATTGCCCCTTTTCGATCCTTGATTCAAGAAAAATAATAATAAAAAATGAAAAAAGGAAAGAAACGGATATGGTATCTTCTGCAAGTTCTGCCATTGGACTTGGTGAATGATTTATGACCTCAAAAGACTAAAGTTTTCTCCATCAATGCTTAAGTTGTAGACTGATTTATGCCTTCAAATAGACAATTGAATTAATTTTAAACATGTCTATAAATTTTAAAGTATTAAAAGTTGAATTATTTTTACCAACTCTTTCAAAAGACTAAAGTTCTCTCCATCAGTCTACAACTAAAGCAATTAATGGAGAGAACTTTAGTTTTTAATCTTTTGAAGTCATGAATCAATCCCATGACAATCATTCTCCAAGTCCATGCTTTGCTAAAGTGCCAAGAGTGGTGGGAAGTGAATAGGGTAGTTTAAGAGCAAAGGAATAGTTTTGGAATTTTATAAAAAAAATTGTAACGTTGTTTAGTAGACTGTTTGTTGACTAACAGAATGGTCTAAAAATAGGATCAATCTCTAATGTTATTTTTAAAAGGGACCAATGTCAAAACTTATATGAAATTGTGGGACTTAAGTAAAAAAAACCATACAAATATTAATGACATAAGCACGTGTCTGTCTGTTGTTGAAGCATGATTTAAGGCTTTTCTCAATCAATTGCTTGTAGGATCTTCTAATTTTTTCTTGTTAACTTTATTTATTTTTTTGGTTCACCTTACTGATACTGCTTCTGCTTAAAGCTTCGCTTGAGGTATGCTCCTACATTTTCATCCAAGATGCTCTCTACTCAGATTTTCTTGATTATCGTGATATTTGCTTACCATGCTATATGTACCTTCTAAAGTGTTGACTTGAGCTAATTTTAAATGATCAACCATTGATGACAAATAGAGGCCAACCCTTTTCTAGAGACGAGGTGGGTTGCCTAAGGATATCACCCATTCCTCCTTACCTAGGGCCAGTTTGGTATTGCTGTTAGAATGAAAATAGTGTTTTTGTTAGTCTTGTTAGTACAAAGCATGTTAGGTGTGTGGTAATACATTATATAAAGTAATTTTCACAATTAAACTAACAAGTTTATAAAAGAAAGGGCGAAGTGGTCTTTATAAAAAATAAAAAGGCTAAAATTGTCTAATGAAAAAAAGTTGATCAAAATATAGATCCTCTACTCAGAATGCAATTTTAAAATCTACAAATTTTAGCTTCATTCAAAAACTTTATTGAGCCAAAATTGGTAATTATTAAAAGCACTTTTAATGGTGACCAAACACATTCAAGAGGTTGAAAAGCAGTCCCAAATGGGCTACTAGTACCAAAAACAAAGAGCTCAGCTTTTGAGTAATAACAGGATAGACTTTCCAATTGGAATCAATTGGTTTCATGGTCTAAAACATACTGAAGACTTGAATTACTCCAAAGATCTCACCAAAAGTAAATCAATGTAGCGAATTCTTTCAAAAAACTTAATACAATTTTGCATTATACCTGCCACCATCACGATGCACATGCACGTATGGAAAGTCTGAGCCATTAAGCCTAGCACAAGAACAACTCCTTGGATCTCTACAAGTATCTTTGCAACCGCATCCAGCAGCATTCTGAGGGAGCTTAACACTTTCTGCGACTTGAATGAACTTGCAATATGTAAAACCTGATATTTAGAGAATTCAAAACCAAAAATGCATTTAGAAAAATTGGAAATTTATTATATATACATTGATCATTGCATGAGGCTAAGCATGTATCAATTGAAGTGTTGATGGATCAAACTTGTGACACTTGCTCTTGATTAAAAGCTCGATAGATCGATTAATGAATTTAATGCAAAATACTTTAATTGGAAATATCTCAAATCCAATTTCTAAAAAAATTTATTTTCCTTCTGATTACACCTCAAAAAAACTAAATCGCTATATAAACACCCTGGGCTCTCAAACTCAAAAAGATTTCTCTATACATTATTCAGAAAATACACACACATCCAGGGAGAGAATTTTATGAAGTGCATTTTCTTTTTTTCATCCTTTAGCAAGTTCCAATACATCACAGCGTCCGCGACTTCGAACCATGGTTTCAGTAGGCCTCTTAAATTCTTAATCCACTACAGCAATTTTTTGTTGACAAAATTATAATGAAACAAAATGATAAAGTCTGCATTCACCATGAAAAAATATATCTGGCTTCATGTACAAATGATAAATGAAATCACAACATAATCCTAATATAACATCCGTGTTGCGGGCTTGAAGCGGAAAACGGAATGGTATGAGAAGAAAATGCTAAAAATAAAAAATTTAAATTAAATAGGGTCTTTGGCAGAAATGTTGGAGTCACCGTCCAACACCGGAATTAGGTGTTGGGCGACCGGATTTAGGTTTGTTAGGCCACTTCTGAAATTCCATGGTCACCACATTCTTAAACAATATTTCCTTAATATCTTTATCCTTCATTTCCTAATGTTGCATTTAGATTTTAAAAAAATGAATTACTAGAATTTTTTTAAATGGATGTACAACTTTGAAGCATTTGCATTTAATCTTTAGGGGATTTTTTTTAAAAATGACCTGAACAAAAAATGAGAGTGAAATAAAAGTAAAAGTAAAACAATATATATGGAAAAGAAATTTCATAAAGTAGAAAACGATGACAATATAAATATTACAATTCAAGACCAAAGAGTAAGATGGGATGCTTTCTCTTCTCACATCAGATTCAAAGTTCGTGATGGCAGATGTGTTCGATTCTAGGAGGATCTTTGGTGTGGAGACCAGCCTTTATCTAGTTCATTTCCCAGATTATACAATATTGCAGTTGATAGACATGCCTACGTAGCTGACTGTTATCGGCTTGATAGTAGTGGGATTACGTGGGACGTGCACTTTCGACGTTCTTTTCAGGATTGGGAGTTGGACGGGGTATGCGGATTTCTGGATTTGCTGTATCGACAGGAGGCAATTGGCAGAGGTAGTGACGATTTGACATGGATTCCCTCTTCCAATGGTCGCTTCGAAGTTCGTTCCTTATTTGTATATCTATCTAATTTTGATATCGTTAATTTTCCGTGGAAGACTATTTGGCGTTCTATGGCTCCAACTAGGGTGGCATTCTTTGTATGGACTGCTGTATGGGGTAAGATCCTGACGTTTGATAATTTAAGGAAAAGGGGTAACTGTTTTGTTAACTGGTGTTGCCTATGCAAACAAGATGGTGAGTTAGTTGATCATATTCTCATGCATTGTCTTGTAACGAGCGATTGTTGGAATCTTATTTTTGGTTTGTTTGGCATGCGTTGGGTTATGCCTCGTCATTCTAAGGATTTGATTTATGCTTGGAGAGGATGCCATGTGAGAAGTGGTGTTCGCAATTACTGGAGAATTGTACCACATTGTGTTTGATGGCACATATGGAAGGAGAGGAATAGTAGAATGTTCGAAGGGAAAAAGTCGTCCACGGCGACGCTGAAACTTCACATCATTCGCTCTCTTTTCAGTTACGTGAAGAGGAAGTCCTGTTCCTCTTCCGATGATTTAATCATTTTTTTGGATTCTTTGGGGCCTTAGACCCCGGTTCCACTTTTGTATAAGGGACGCGTTCCCTCTTGAACGCCCTTTTATTTTATTATTACTTATCAAAAAAAAGACCAAAGACTAACTCAAAAAGATAGAGGAGACAAGATAAATAAAGAAAGTGTGAGGGGAACATTAGGTATAGCGCCATTTGTGATGTTGTGGCCCGAATTTGGAGTTGGGTCGTGTTGTGACGAGGCGACCCGTTGGAAATTGCTTGACCCGTTTATGCTTGTGGTCATGAACCCTAATTAGTCCTCTCTAGTAGCCCAATATATAAAGGCGCTTAGGGTTTGGAGTGCATCATCGAGAGACACTAAAAATCGTACAGAAAGAGTAAAGTAGGACAATAGAGCAAAGCTTGAATAGTTGAAATAAATAAGAATTATGGCTGAAAGTTCAAATGAACAGGATTGGGGTTCAAGAGGTGTTCGAAGAAAGAAAGGATTGGAAAAAAAAAAAAAAAACTATTGGAATCACACCAATAGGGTCTAGGCATCACACCTAAGGCATCACACCCTCAGAATTTTTTAATCACTCACAAAGAAATCTTAAAAGATATTTTTTATTCATTGAGTAATCAGAGTTACATAGTATCCTTTTTATATAAAAAGATGACCCATGGATTACCCTACAATTGAGGTAATCAAAAGTAGACTCTAGCATAATAAAAGTAACAAATAACTTAATTGATGCAATTTACCACAATAAGGTAATTTCACCACAATTGATGCGATTTGACCCAATCCCCCCAATTATAAAGGACTGCAAGTGGACCCCACTTCACCTAACATGTGCCAAATCAAGGCTTGAGCTCTAGAATACTCTTTTCCAAGCCTTTTATACATTTTAAAACTCCGCTTGATAAGCTGAATATTTCATATTCGAACCCTTAAACGTGCATATGTTATGCCTTGGTGATACCTTTATCTCGGTTCATATGTTTCTTTTTGTTTATTTGTTATTTGTAGGTCTTTACCCGAAGATATGGAAAAATCCATGGATTTATGCTTGGAATGGGCATCCTGATGCTTAAGGAGATGTTTTGAACCTTTCAGGTCAATTTGGGATTCAATAGAAGAAATGCAGGCCTTAGAGGTAGAGCACAACCCTTTAGTGCTCAAGCATTGCCTAGTGCTCGACCACAGCTCTTCAGTGCTCGAGCACTGATCAAAGGAAATAAAGAAAATGACTAAGTGTTCAATGAAAAGACGCTTCGAAAATTTTAGATCAAAAAGCTCGAGCATAAAGCTTAGTGCTCGAGCACCAAAAGCCAGAGCTCGAGTAGTGAGACCAAGTGCTCGAGCACAAGGACCAAAAGCTTGAACACTGAAGTTTAGTGCTCGAACACAAAACTCCTAGAAGTTTTCAATAGTTGCGGGAATGCTGTAAAACCCCTCTTCTTTGTTTCTTTATAGGCCTAATTGTCCCCAAAAGTTGTACAGCCCATCTAAGGGGGATTAGGACTTGTTCTCCACTATAAAAAAAGATGAGAAGACACATTGAAAGCTTCTTTTTGACTCTTGACCTCTTAACAGCTTTTAGGGTTTTGAAGATTGAAGATTCCAATTGGTGGTCCATGGAGAAGATTTCTGCACGAACAACGATGATATCTTCCTCCTCCATGAGTAGCTAAATTCCTTCTTAAGGAATTAATGTAACCCTAGTCCGAGTAGCATGGTTTGATTGTTCTCAACTTTGACGATTTTTCTATGTATATTGATTGCATGGTTGTGAGCAATTGACTTAGTTATACTAAGCAATTGGGTTTTAATTCTTATAATTGTAATACCTCGTAATTTTAAAAGGAATTTTATTTAATTTTATTATTATTATTTACATTTGATTGGTTAAATTATTTATGTTTTAAATTTATTATTGTTGTGCATTTTATTGTTTATTATTTATTGTGTTATGTCAATTAAATTAATTGTTGTTGTGCATTTAATTGTTTATTACATTTATTGTGATATGTAAATTAAATTAATTTTTGTTGTGCATTTAATTGCTGATTGTATTTATTGTGTTATGTGAGTCAAGGTATTTATTATTCATTATTTTATTAAATGATATTTAATTTTGCATTGGACCGGTCTTAGTATTAATTGGACCATAGGACTTAGTATTGGACTATGGGAGTGGAAGGCCTTGATCGGCTCTAGAAGCCCTAAGCCCATATACTATATAATTATATGTATTTTAATTTATATAATAATAATATATATATGTTGGGGTTATATCTCTAGTAAATGTATAATTATATAGTTGAAGAAAAGAAAAGAGAGAGAAGGAGAGAGAGGCGGCAGAACAACAGAGAAAGAGTAGGCGACTGAATTCCGGTGAGACTTGCAACGACTATTACATACGCAAATCTAAGGCAAGTCCATACTCTTCTCTACCCCTTTGAACCCTAAACCTTTCACCTTGGATATCAAAACCTAGGGTTAATATTTATAGACTAAATCATTGTTAATTGGAATATAAAAGCATGTATGTGATCTTTTACGGATTTATATATATGTATTTATGTTCTGTATTGTGGGGGCAAAAATCTCCCCTTCCAATTAAGGTAAAACACATCAGCACATAAGGAGACCACCACAAACACTGAGACTATTCAACCTTCAAACTGGGCCTCTACAAAAAGCTTGGGCCGGGTTAACTAAGCATAATGGGCTGAACTCATTAAGAAGGCCCGAGATGATGAGACCCCAAGCCCAATTACGAATATGTTACTAAACCCATTTTAGTAACAGTTCTATTAGAAGAAGGATTATAATTTATGGAAACCAAATAATGTAAATCCTTGTTATAAGGATAGTATGACTTAATTCAGATTCTTAAGGGACAAGCAATGCAAGTCCTAAAAGGAATCGATTATGGTTTTTCCTATATAAAAAGGGCTTAGGACCCTCAATAGGGGAGACAGAGAAAAAAGGGCAAAGCCCTCAAATAGAGATCCAATTCTCATCATCAGAACTACGTTCCGACCTGATTCCCACGCTCCATGAAGCGGGATACGTAGGCAATCTAAGTAATCCTAGGTTCGGTCATATCATCAAAATACCCCCTCATCTCTACACTC